ACGAACAGTCAAAATTTTTGGTTATAAGATCGAAACACCGATTTTCAGGTTTGGAAGACCTTTTAACCCAAAATCAATGTTATCATATTGAAGTAAGGCTATAGGGTCAATCATTTGATCACAATTCACATTTCCTCTTGCCTCCACATCTAACTAAATATGTGCATTTGTTGTGTTTTCACAACAAATTTATTTTTAATTTTATTTTTAAAATTTTAATTTTTGTTAGTATTTAACAGATTCAATGTGATTTGTAGTTATAATTCTAAAAACATGATGATAGTCCCTTCCTCCCTCCCTCCCACCCCTTCTATCTTCACACTCTTTTTCCTTCTTATTTCTTTACCTAATAAGAATTTTAACAGTAAAAATAAAAAGACCCTAGTTTAGTGGAAATATAGATGTTTATACGGCTATAAACAGTAATAGAATAGAAAAATGACATTTTGCCTATATATGGTAAATATTAAAATAATCACAATCATAAAAGCTATGATTGTGTAACATTCTTAACTATTGGCTTCATAAAGGTGTAAATGATTTTTTATAAATAGGTAATATTTTCCTATGTGTGTCTAACAAAGGAAAATATAATACAAGTTAAATTGGGGCAGCCATTTGGTGTGCATGGGTTCAATTTCTAGTTCTGGTTCATGACTCCAGCTTCCTGCTAAAGCAGTACCTCAGAGACATTGGTTATGTTTGAAGTAACTGAGTTCTTCTCACCACGTGAGACACCTCTGTTGAATCCCCAGCCTCTTACGGTGGCCATGTCATAACTCAGGCCATTATAGGTATTTGAGGATTAAGCTAACGAATTTGAGCTCTGTCTGCCCCACTCTATCTGTGTATATATCAACCTGTCAAATAAATAAAAAGTTAAAAAGTTGAGCCAAGAAGGATCAATAATTCAGGGAAATTGAAAGACTAGATTATTTAATAGAACAAAATAGGATGTGTATGTGTTTAATAGGCAAACCTAGTGTATGTACATTAAAAGATTAATTTTTTTGCATCTGTTTCCATGAAGAAGCTAGTGTTCTCTCCAGTAATTAATTAGTAATTTTTTTATTTTTAAAGAAATTTATTGATATATTATATTCTCAGGATTGCGGAAATGCATGATAATCACTGCAACATAGTTGTCATCAAATCTCATGACAATGTGATATTAGTACAAAGAGAACAGGTTCAATGCAGTTCAAAGATACAATTCTAAGAATATAATATTTGCCTCCCTGTGTCCTTCCCTCTCTCTCTCTGCCTTTATTTCTCCCCCTCCCTTTCTTTTTTTGCAAATTTTTGTGATAACATATTTTTAATGCTCATTATAGTCAGAAGGTTAATGCTCCACTAAGTAAATGTTCAACAAGTAAAAAGAAAAAAAAAAAAAAAACATAGTTCAGCGGGAATATAGGCAAGGGCTATAACCAAGAGTCAAACAAAATTATGTCAGTGTTACTCATGAACAGCAAATTTTAAATATCACAAATAATCAAAACTCTAATAGTATATCATTCTTAATAATTTGTTTCACAAAGATTTAAAACAAAGCTTAAAATATTGTATTTGCAACAATGCTGATACACACAGGCAAGAATTATATGAAAAAAAGCTCAACATCACTTGCCATCAGAGAAATGCAATTCAAAACCATAGTGAGATATCATCTCATCCCTATCAGAATAGCTGTTATCCAGACGACAGCAAGTAACAGCTGCCGGCCAAGATGTGGAGAAAGGGGAACTCCTATACACTGCTGGTGGGAATATAAATTAATGAAGCCACTATGGAAAACTGTATGGTATTTCTTAAAAAAATTACAAATTGACTTGCCATATTATCCAGCAATCCTACTACTGTGTATATATCCAAAACACATAAGGAATTTGTATCAAAGAGATACCTGTACCACAGTGCTGTATACCAGCAGTTTACAATACCCAAAATATGGAATCAACCAAGGTGTCCATAATCAAATGAATGGGCAAAGAATATACATACAAATATAATGGAATATTATGCAGCTTTGAAAAATGGAATTCTATCATTTGCACCAAACTACAATCAGCTGGAGAACATCATGTTGAGTAAAATAAACTGGGCACAGATAGACAAATGCCACATATTTCCCCTTGTATATAGGACATAAAAAATGCTTGTGTGTGTCAGTATTGCTGCAAATATAGTTTTGTCAAAATTTGTTTTGGGGGCCAGCGCTGTGGCATAGTAGGTTAATCATCTGCCTATATCGCCAGCGTCCCACATCAGTGCTGGTTCAAGTCCTGGATGCTCCTCTTCTGATCCAGATATCTGCTATGGTCTGGGAAAGTAGTGGAAGATGGCCTAAGTGCTTGAGTGCCTGCACTCTCATGGGAGACTTGGAAGAAACTCTTGGCTGCTAGCTTAGGATCTGTCCATCTCTGGCTGTTGCAGCCATTTGGGGGAGTGAACCAATAGCTAGAAGACCTTTCTCTGTCTCTCCCTCTCTCTGTCAGTGGTTATACCTCTCAAATAAATAAATAAATAAATAAAATGTTAAAAAGAAATTGTTTTGCATCTTTGTGAAACCAGTGGTTAAGAATGATATACTACTATAGTTTGAATGATATGTGATTATTTTAAAATTTACTGTATATGAGTGAAATGATCATCTTTTCATTTGATTATTGTTTAAGCATTTCTAAGATTCCCACTGAGCTAGTATCATATTTTTTTAACTTTTTATTTGTTGAATTCTTTATTCACTGGATAATTAAGTCTTTAACTATAATGTAATTTAAAAATATGTTATAAGAAAGAAAAAATTGCATACAGAAAAGTAACAATAAATATGAGGATAACTGAAATAACAGTTTTTCAAAATAAAAAAATAAATAAATATGACTGGGCATACCAAGTTCATATTAAGAAATATAACTAATTTTACTGTGTTTATTTGCTGCCGGAGAGATTTGTGATCTATTATCAATGAAATTATGACTTTCCAGGGTATTTATGAACATGTGGTATATGGTAGCAACAGAATCTTAAAATGATTTTGTGTGTATGTATATATATATATTCATATATGTTGGATCATTCTGGAAAGGTGTAATACAAAATTGTCATGGTTTGAATGTGATGAGTCAAGATTTACTGTGATTCTTAAATCTAATTTGGAAATGTTTGCCAGTGATCCAACAGCTACTCTTATTCAGTTGATTGTTTATCATGAATTACTCAAAATGAGAAGTCAAAGTGCAACTCATGATATTGTCCATGTAACCATGGACAACCATGGAATCAAGCCAGCCATTTGCATATGTTCTCATGATTTCAGCTTTCAACAACTTGAAAGTTACATGATTTCTTATTTGATAGTGAACAGATTTTTTGAAATATAAAATTCAATGAGTGTTTGTCATCTAAGATACAATTCATCTTAGCTCACAAGCAAAGATGAAATCTATAAGCTTGTTCGTTATTATTCATCATGAAAATACTCATAAGCTTTGCTCTGTAGAATAAAGGAGTAAATGTAATGTGTGATTTGCTCTCCTGACTTCATTTGAAAATATATCTTTATCTAGCACTAAGGTGGTCCATACTTCTTATCAGAAATCAGCTTCTGGAGCTTAACAGGATTATGTGAATGGCATCCCTATTATTGCTGAGTTGTAGAATAAAAAGTCAAAAAAAGTTTCAGAATAAACACTTTTGACAGTGATCTCACATTGATCAATCATATGACATAGAAAGGTAAGTCATGAACTAAAATTAGGAGATGTTTTATTGTGGCACAGTCAAGTTCATGATAATAAGTTCAATAAATTTAGAATGGCTGCATTTTATAGGAATCTTCGAAGTAGTCATTTGAAATATAAATGCTGTCATGCAAAAATTGTGTGTATGGAAGTCCCTTAATTTGTCAGTATGTTTTCTAATCAGAAACTAAATAAAAATAAGTATTATTGCTGGTAAGGAGATTTAAAATTGAATTAAATATAATGTTAAAGCACAAGAAATTCAAAGCCTATGATTTTCCTGACATCTTGGTACAAAGGAAGAAATGTCAGGTTAAGTTTTCCAAATCCAAGAAATTAGCAGGAAAGGAAGAAAATTCCATTTCCTGTTTTTTGATATTTCAATTTTACATTTGAAATAACCCCAATAAAATAATTGTTTTTGTTGTAGTATCCTTATAAATATACTTACATATTTTGTACAAATAAAGTTTAGATATCTTTTTTGAAGATGGCCTATTTCACAGTCAACCTATTTCAATTACTTATTTACCCACTAGCCCTGTATTCTCCTCTAGATCTAAACTTAAGTGAGTTAATTTCTCCCAAGCTAATGCTCAGAGGAAGAATTTGGAGAAAATTTGTCTTGCTCAACCTAACCATAAACACAATTTTATATATCTACATTTAAACATATGTAATGGTGAGTGTTTTACCTGGCAATGAAAACACCTTTTATGATGCCCGTGTCCCTCACTGGAGTGCTTGAGTTTAATTTTTGGCTTTAGCTCCTGACTCAAGTAATTGAGCTCGTGCCATTTATGTGGGAGATCTGGATTGAGTTCCCAGTTCTCCACTTTGGCTTGGCCTAATCCCAGATGTTTATGTGCATTTGAAGAGTGAGCCAGTAGATGGGAGCTCTGTCTTTCTCTCTGACTGTCCTGGTCTCTCTGCTGCCTCTCAAATAAAAAAAAAAAAAAGAATTCTAGAATAGGCTTCTATGTTGGTAATAGAAACTCAGTAATTGTGATGTCCAAACCAAACTTTCATTCATATATACATACACATATATATACATATATATATATTCTTTCTCTCTCTCTCTCTCTGTATATATACATATGTTTGGACATTTATCATTAATCTTTAATGCCTCATCAAAATGATATAGAAATGTGCTATGATAAAAGCATAAAAAAGTACACAAAAGATAAAATCCTATCCATAAAAGATGCTAAAGTATGACATTAATTTTCCACTATTTTTTTTGACTAGGGAGGATATACATATAGCCACATGAGAAGAAAGAATATAAAATTGTAATTCTTGGAATGATTTTTGAGGTATGAGAGAATAATATTTCTCATATGTAGAAATAATATTCATTTAAACTTTTCCTAACATATAGAGCACATTTTAATATGACATTCATTTAGTTAAAATACTTATTTAGAGTTTCCTTGAATGACTTTCTGTGCAACCTAACTTAAATAGATAATTGTCAGTTCTATGCATCCTTTACGAAACTGCTTTCTAAATATAATTAATTAGCAAGCTTTGAAAAACTTCCCATATCTCAAGGATGTTTTACAAAAAGCCAAAGTTAATGATTTCGAGTCTTGATGTATAGTAATCAAATTATTCCCCACTGTGTGCAGAAAGAACTAGCTTGCTTTAAAAACTGTAGGAACAAAAATATAGTCCACATGAGAAATACTTCACCAGTAACCTTTGTGCTTAATGACCTATTGTGCTAGTTAGGGTCATGATCCTTTATTTTATTCTAAGATTAAGTGTGTATTGCTCTGGTATCTAGAAATATCTGTTTAGAGGTAAATGCTTTTCTAGTAGTATTCTACAGAAATAGAGATGTGCATTGTCATGGTGTTTGAAAGTGAACTGGTGATGAATTGCCCTAGCAGACAGACATTATTTCCAATTATTACTCAAAACCCTTTATTTTTTCACATTTGTCTTTCGCACTATGTGCCAACTGTAACATTATTCCATCAAGATGGAAAGAAAAGACATGTTAAGTCTGATTCTTGTCCAAACCCATCTGAAGAGTGACTTATATTTAGTGTATCTTCACTAAATATAGCAATGTGAATACTTAAAATTTGTCACTGATGTCAGATTATTTATAAAAGGAAATTGTCTCTCAGATTCTCTCCTTTCTATCATTTTCAGGACCCCTTAAAGTTTTCTTTTTTCTTCCTTTTACATACTGTCAGTGATGTGCCTTCAAGTAATTCTAGTAGATCCAATTCTCTAACATTGAATAGAGAATATCCCAGGATACAACTTACTGCTGTCAGTGTTTATTTTTCATATTGTTTAATTTTTATTATTTACTCCTAGGTTTATCTGGCAGAACACATCAGAAAAACCATAAAGCTGATTTATGTCTAATTAAAAAAATCTTTTGTTGGTATGGCCTCAATTTCATTTACATTGAAACATATATCCTGGAAAATTGGTTCTCGATTTTCCACCAGTATTTTTTGCCTTGCAATCATGTCTTTTATTCTTTTCTTTTTTACAGTTTGTCAAAGACAACATTTTCAGCCAACACTGTGCAGGGGGAAATGGAGAAATAAAAAGAAATACAATATAACAGAATAAAGTGCTTTAAATTCCAGTGGGAAAATAAAAATGATTTGTGTTAAAGGTTAAATAGTCCCTAAACCATAATGTTACAAGTTGTATAGGAATGATGTCTCTATGTTCTTGTGCAATGTGTCATCAATCCACAGCCAAATACCACTGACATTGTATTTTTTTATCTCTGCAGAAAAATGTTTGAATATCACTTACCTCTGAGGCAGTTCTTTTGGAAATTATAAATATATTTCTTTCTGGGGACAAAAGAATGCCCATCAAAATGAAAGATGAAGCATGGAATCTGAATTCACAGCTGCTTTATGCAATATGGAAGAAGTGCAGGGTTTCTCATTTCAGTTTTCTTCTCAAAGATTTATAGATAGAAGCCTAAAATGATATATTTAAATTCTTTTATATTCTCTTGTCTGGCTGTGTAAATGATTGCAATCAATCAGGTTTTTTTTTTTTTTTTTGTTCAAGAAGAACCTTGAAATGACAATATGAAAATTTTTCACATGTAATTTCAGTTATACAGTGGGAAATGACTGACAGCTTAGCAGTGTCTCACTGTGGCAAGAATATGATGGTATTTTTGAGCAAATAGTTTTACTTAAGAAAAGTAAAGTTACAATAAGTTGACTTTTTAAAGTTTTCCTGGAAAATGATTCTGAATATCACAACTCTATATGGAGTCCTTTTATTTTAGAAATATAAATATAATTAACTATATAATTAGAATATATTAAAAGCTTTTCAGAAAATCTGCAACAGAATAAAATTATCTATTTCATTGTAGCTATATGTGTGTGTGTGTGTGTGTGTGTATATATATATGCATTTTCACAGAAACGTCATCACCCATTCCAAAATGTTCCATTAGTTCCAAAATGACTTTTGAATACTGGAAAAATAATTCTAATTCTAATCCAAAAAAAATCCCATGGCAAAGTGGATTTTAACTAAACTTTGAAATATTTTCTATCACTAGAAAGAATATCTGACTCAGTTTACTGGAGGTTTTGCAAATGCTTAATGACTATGAAACTGACAAGCATATTGCAGTTATGCTTAAAGATTCAAAAATTAATTCAATTCTAAACTGTAAATGTATAATATTTACTATGACTTTCCCATTGGAACTGGAGATTACACCAGAAAACTTTATCTTCAAAACCAGTGTCCTATAACTGTTATTGTAATCAAATATTTTATGCAGTTTGGACTTTCCTTTCTTCCTCCCCCTTACCCTATTTGGTCATTTCTTAACTGAATCATAAGATGAAAAAAAATCTAGATTAGCAGTAAGTTAAAATATAAATACAAAATTACATATTGTCTAAGGATGCTTACAAATAACAATTAAAATACTTATGAAGGTATTTTTGCTTTTACTAATCAAAGTTTACTTATACATGAAAACATCCATGTCACATGATTGAGAGAGTGCCATTATCCTATATACTTATTCCTGCAAAGTATTTTTGTTTGTCTAGCATGTTCCAGATATGGGTTATGTGTTGGGTCATGAATGGGGAAACACAGCTCCTTTTTAGATTTGCCCATGGCTCCTATGGTCTGGCCATGGCCATAGTATCTGTGAATGAGAAATAATAACAATTGTGGTGAGTACTACCTAGGAAACAAAAGAGGTAGAAGTGGTGGAGGATATTGGAGAAATATTAGCAAGTTATTGTATCTGAAGAGATGACTTTTAATATGAGACTTCAGTCATGAGAAGAAACTAGCCATATAAAGAAGGTAGAGGAGAGGACTACAGGAAAGTAGCAAACAGCGTGTGTGTTACCTAAAATGGGAAAGAGTGATTGTTTGTGTTTAAGTTATCTGAAAGGTCAGTCTGCCTTTGTAATGGATATAGATAGAGGCTCAGGGACATGGCTCAGGCCAGACAGAGCATTTTCAGCTCTGATAAGGAGTTTAGATTTCATCGTATACAATGGGGAACTATTTACAGGTTTAAAGCAAATTATTATGTTCATGTTTTAAAAGTGTCCTTATTCTGGCTGTTTCAAGAAAATGAAATAATTGAGCCGGCGCCGTGGCTCAATAGGCTAATCCTCCACCTTGCGGCGCCGGCACACCGGGTTCTAGTCCCGGTTGGGGCGCTGGATTCTGTCCCGGTTGCCCCTCTTCCAGGCCAGCTCTCTGCTGTGGCCAGGGAGTGCAGTGGAGGATGGCCCAGGTGCTTGGGCCCTGCACCCCATGGGAGACCAGGAAAAGCACCTGGCTCCTGGCTCCTGCCAGGATCAGCGCGGTGCGCCGGCTGCAGCGGCGGCCATTGGAGGGTGAACCAACGGCAAAGGAAGACCTTTCTCTCTCTGTCTCTCTCTCTCACTGTCCACTCTGCCTGTCAAAAAAAAAAAAAATAAATAAAATAAAAAAAAAAATAAAAAAAAAAAAAGAAAATGAAATAATTTACAAATTGTATATTTATAATGTATTACACAACTTAGAGAAAAATAATATTAGAAGCATAAATTCTAATAAATTGGGAAATATGGGTTTGACTTACAAACTCAGTATTTTTTTGTGTTTGCTATGTGTTATCACCCATAAGAAATTCATAAATATCAATACTGTAGGAATTAATTAGGCTCCTCATTGTCATTTAAGGAATATAAGGAGACAAATGATTTGCAGAAGTAATCATTTAGTGTTTGCTGAACTTATATGTGTGAATTGCACAGAGCAATCAAGCTGTAGAGCTGTAGGAAAAACTGCAGGGTGAGATATCTGAATCCATGTGAGGAGGTTTTCAGGAGGCAGTGGTTCACTCAGTCAATGTCAAAAGGTCCAGAAAGGTTAGAACAGGAAACCATTGTTTGAATTTGGCTACAAATTCAGCCTGAGTAGAGGCTTTTACAAGGAGCAATTTCAGTGGACTATTGGAGATAGGAGCTATACTGTAAATACATAAAGGAGTGAATAAGAGGTGGGGAAAAAGAAGTAGCATGTACAGGGACAAACAAAACAAATTACCACCACCACACCACCAACAACAAAACTTTCAACAACATCCCATCCATTCCTTGTCTGCTTTTTCACTCTTACGAATTACAACCAAAAGGAAAAGAATTTGATCAGTTCACCACACTCATAAAAACAAAAATCAAGGGAAGTTATGGATGAATCAAGCCAGAAATTCTAGCAAATTTATTATTTATACGGCATGATTATGAAATAATCTCAACAGGTTGGAAAGACACAAATATAGGTTAATGTTTTGCATTTCAATTTCTCATATTTACTAATGAAGCTGCTTGCCATTATATTTGTTACTTCAAAAATTCTGAACGTGAACATTCCAAAAATCTATTGTGCAATTCTAGGCTTTCTTAAGCCCGATCATTTATATTTATTCCATTTAAGAATATATTCTCAACATTAACAATAGTAATGATGGTTATCAGTTCTAGAATGTGAACCATTTATTAACAATAATCCATTTGATTTATCTTATTTAATCCCTACAGCAAAATGGGTTAAAGTTTATTTAAACTATGCAAGTAAGGAAATTAGGATTTGTAAAGATAAATAAATTACTTAAACTCACACAGGTCCTAAATAGAGCCCAGTGTTTTTGTTACTTAGAATATTTTACTTCCAAAACCAACAAATCTTAAATCCAGATCACTTCTCAATCCTGTTTCTTTCCTCATATGTAGCTGCTGATTAATACAGAAAACTAGGTGGCTAACTAGATTAATATGTCATTTATTTTTTAAAGATTTATTTATTTTTGCTTGAAAGGCAGAGTTAAACAGAGAGAGGAGAGGTAGAGCAAGAGAGAAAGAGAGAGAGAGAGAGAGAGAGAGAGAGGTCTTCCATCCGATGGTTCACTCCCCAATTGACCGCAATGGCTGGAGCTGTGCCGATTTGAAGCCAGGAGCTAGGAACTTCTGGGTGCAGGGGCCCAATCACTTGGGCCATCTTCCACTGCTTTCCCAGGCCATAGCAGAGAGCTGAATCGAAAGTGGAGCAGCCGGGTCTCTAACTGGCGCCCAAATGGGATGCCAGCGCTCCATGCCAGGGCTTTAACCCACTGCGCCACAGCGCCGGCCCAAATATGTCATTTATAATTCTACAACATAACTTCAAATTTCAACTGATTATTTTTTCCCTGTTCATTTTCTTACTTTGAATCTGCTGTGATTCAGGGACTTTTATTCTTGAATCACTTGCCAAGTATGTGCTTTCTCAACAGTTAAACACATCTTACATTTCTCAAAGATAATTGATTTAAAAAATTTTTATTTAAGGTATAGAAATTTCATGTATTTCATATATACAGATTTAGGAACATAGTGATGCTGCCCACCCTAAGATCCCTCCTGCCTGTGCTCCAACACTTCTTCCTCCCTCTCCTATTCCCACTCTTAATTTTTTTTTTTAGATTTTTTTTTAACTTTTATTTAATGAATATAAATTTCCAAAGTACAGAATCTGGATTACAATGGCTTCCCCACCATAACGTCCCTCCAACCCGCAACCCTCACCTTTCCCACTCCCTCTCCCCTTCCATTCACATCAAGATTCATTTTCAATTCTCTTTATATACAGAAGATCAGTTTAGCATGCATTAAGTAAAGATTTCAACAGTTTGCTCCCACACAGAAACATAAAGTGAAAAATACTGTATGAGTACTAGTTATAACATTAAATCTCAATGTACAGCACACTAAGGACAGAGATCCTACATGAGGAGTAAGTGCACAGTGACTCCTGTTGTTGACTTAACAAATTGACACTCTTGTTTATGGCCTCAGTGATCACCCTAGGCTCTTGTCATGAGCTGCCATGGCTATAGAAGCCTTTTGAGTTCACTGACTCTGATCATATCTAGACAAGGTCATAGTCAAAGTGGAAGTTCTCTCCTCCCTTCAGAGAAAGGTACCTCCTTCTTTGATGACCCGTTCTTTCCACTGGGATCTCACTCGTGGAGATCTTTCATTTAGGTTTTTTTTTTTTTTTTTTTTTTTTTTCAGATTGTCTTGGTTTTCCATGCCTGAAATACTCTCATGGGCATTTCAGCTGGATCTGCATGCCTTGAGGGCTGATTATGAGGCCAGAGTGCTGTTAGGACATTTGCCATTCTATGGGTCTGCTGTGTATCTCACTTCCCATGTTGGATCATTCTCTCCCTTTTTTATTCTATCAGCTAGTATTTGCAGACACTCTTCTTGTTTAATGTGCTCCCTTTGGTTCTTAGTCCTATCATTATGATCAATTGTGAACAGAAATTGATCACTGGGACTAGTGAGATGGCATTGGTACATGCCACCTTGATGGGATTGAATTGGAATCCCCTGGTATGTTTCTAACTCTACCGTTTGAGGTAAGTCAGCTTGAGCATGCCCTGAATTGCACATTTCTTCCCTCTCTGATTCCCACTCTTATATTTAACAGCAATCACTTTTCAGTTAAGTTTCAGCACTTAAGAAGAATTGTGTATTGATTACAGTATTCAACCAAAAGTATTAAGTAGAACAAACAAAAAAAATACTAAGAGGGATAACATATTAAGCTGCTCATCAACAGTCAGGGTGAGGACTGATCAAGTCACCGTTTCTCATAGTGTTCATTTCACTTTAACAGGTTTCCTTTTTGGTGCTCAGTTAGTTGTCACCTAT